AATGTTGCAAAGTCTCTCCATGGAGACTTCTTCCTAAATAAGGGAATTTGTTTGGGTTTTGGTTTTGAAGTTGTTTCTTTTTCTTGGTTTGTTTTGCTGGTATTTTTTTTTCTTTTAATAAGAAGAGGATAAGTTCTGGACAGGATTTTTTTTTATTATTACTACTTAAGCTTCTCAAAGGATATTACAAAGAAAGAAATGTAAAGTGGATCAAACTTAGAAAAAGTGTGAGACATTTTCCCTTTTATAAAATAAGAGAAACAAGGCATCTGAGTTTCTAAGACCTAGGGGGGAAATAGCTTATGTCTTAGGTCATAGTCTTGCTGAAAAGTAAGTAAGAGGTCATTTGTGTGCATGTGAAGGCCCAAATGCAGTGAATGGCTAATATAGTAGTTAGTCTCCTATACTGGCAGTTCCAGAGCATGGAGGTAGTTGTCTGTATTTGTTCACTTTTCTTTTCAGCTAGTACACACCAGATTAAAAGTCATTCATAAAAAGTGGGAAAAGTGGTGAAGGGAGAAACAGTAATCTGAAATTTTCTTTCATAAGGCCTAGAATTACTAATGATGGCCCAGGAATGTAGCATGAGTTAGGTAGACATGCTGGTTTTGGCTGGGGTAGAATTCATTTCCTTCACATGACTGGTTGGGGGCAGTGTTTTGAATCTACACTCAACACAGGGTTGATAATATAGAAATGTTTTTGTTATTGCTGAGCAGGCTTACACACAGCCAAGGCCTTTTCTACTTTTCCTGCTGCCGTGCTGGTGAGGACCTTGGTGGTGAATGGGAGATTCAGAGGAGACACAGCCAGGACAGGTGACTCCAACTGACCAAAGGGATATTCCAGACCATCTGACATCATGCTCAGGATATAAACAGGGGGGAAGAAGAAGGAAAAGGGGGACATTTGGAGTGATGATGTTTTTCTTTACAAGTCACTGTTATGTGTGATGGAGCCCTGCTCTCCTGGACATGGCTGAACACCTGCCTGCCTCGTGATAAAAACCCCAGAAGAAAACCAGAGGGGAGCTGCCACCAGTGCTGCCTCAGCTCTCTGCCTGCAAGAGTGAAAGAGCGAGAGCCACAGGCAATAGAGAGCTCTGCCTGCACAACCCTGACTTCAAAATGGCCAGAACCTGCTGGCCCCAAGGCTCCATTTCCAGATCTAGCGTCTTAAAGAGACACTTCCCAGTCTGGGCACAGATAGAGAATACAGTAACTTTTTTAGTAACCCAGAACACTGGGGGCATGACAGAGCTGGACTTTTTTTCTTTGTTGTTAAAGAATTCTATTTACCGTGTTTGGAAAAAGATACCCCAACTGGTTTTGGCCAGATAACAATGACTTCCCAGCAGAGCTAAACTTGGTAGGAATAAGTTAATTTTGAAGAGAGCTTCGAGAGAGAAAGAGCATCTTTGAAAAGAAATAGAACTGACCAACTGGGAAAACGTCAGCAGTGCTTTTCCTTTGTGTGGGAACCAGCCATCACTGCAGCTGCCTGCCTTGTCAACGTTTGCAAAATACTCTTCCTTGACTGGGGGAAGCTTACCAGCAGTTGAAGATAAATGCTGTAAAAGAAAGCATGTTTATTTTAGTCTGTGTGAAGTAGAAGGAGGAACTACTTAGAATTGTGTAAAAATTACTTGTTTTACATTTATAACTTGGCAGCCCAATGATTTGAGAATATGGAATGTGAAACTGATCTGAGAGTAAGCTGTGGACTTTGTTGCTGCAGACTGAGAATTAATATTTTGATAAACCATACTATCTGCTTCATGGATGAGTATGTGTTGCTTGCTTCAGAGAAATTCTGGTTGTCTCCATAGGCTTGTGGTTATAGACAGCTTATAATTTTGTTTGTATTTCCATTGTCAGATTCTGGTTGTCAGTTTTTTGATGAAGAGGTAGTTGCTCATTTAGCTCAAGTTTTACTGCTTTATATTGTTTTTAAACTAAACTCTGAGGTAATGGATAGAACCCAGACTGCTGGAAATTACAGCACTTCTACTTCCCAGCCCTTGCCCCACCAAAGAAAGTTTAGTGTGCATCTCAACAGGACAATACTTTCTCTGTTATCTATTCCTTATGTCTATTTGTGGAAATATTGTTTTTGGAAACTCAGTAGTTTACATACCCATTTAGTTTCATGACTTCTTTCCTTGATAGTCTATAAAAGCAAATAATGCTGCCTACTGTGAGGGTGGTGAAGCAGTGGAACTGGTTGCCCAGAGAAGCTGTGGATGTCCCATCCCTGGCAGTGCTCAAGGCCAGACTGGATGGGGCCGTGAGCACCTTGATCTGGTGGACACTGTCCCTTCCTGTGGCAGGGTTGGAATAAGATGATCTTTAAGGTTCCTTGTAGCCCAAGCCATTCTATGATTCTGTCTATGACTGGAGTTTGTTCTAGTGGTATCTCTGCACAGATAACTGATTTGAAACTGCAACGTACTCCACACAGCTGCAGTGGTATTACCAGCAACAGCTGTCATGTTCTGTGCTCAAATCCAGCCTTTGGTGCAAAAAACTGTGGGTCCCTATAGCACATTTCTGTCCTGAGCCTCTGCCTGGATTCTAGACTTGATTTATGTGTCTAAAACTCTGTAATACAATCACCCTGGGACTTTTAACCAGTAGTTATGGAATAGCAGAAGTAAAGTTAGAAAGTTAGGGGTACTATATCTGATTAGTGTAAAGTGAAACACTCCAGACATACATCAGGTAATTCTGAGAATGGAATTTAAATTGGTATTATTATTTTGATTGTTACAATTAGGATCTACAGATTTATGAACTACTCTGTGTTGAGAAATGGAGATTGATGCACACTAAACTGTAATCTACTCATCCATCATGAAGCTTCTGCTAGAGATCCATTTAATTTCCAAACAGAAGAATTCATTATCTATCTCCAGAGAAATTTTTTTTCTTAAGGATCAGCGTTTGCAGTGAGCTATCAGACAGCATTCTACAGCAAACAATCAAGGAAGCAGCTGTCTCTAGCATGCAGCTATGAAACTAAAGAATTAAAAATTTCCATGGGTAATACAGAAGTACAAGGAATTATCTAGAGTCCCAAGAGAGTTAACAAATATGGGTCCAATTCATTGCCTTACCAGTTTTGCTGTGTAATCTACAGTGAGAAACATTGGTTTGCCAGTATAGTCTTGTTTGGTTTTATCTGTCTGAAACTATTCAGTGTGCTGTGCACGAAGTTTGTGCTTAAAAGCAGTGCTGTGCAGTTGTGGGCAGCGTGGTGTCCCAGGAAGTTGGTTTCAGTGGGATGCAGGGTGTAGCCTGGGTGCTATACCGTGATGAGCTCTCTGTAGACAATGTTAGTTTCTTCAATTCAGACCTTCTGGTTAAAATGGCCCAACACCAAATAAATCTGACTCTTCCAAAAACACATATGGACTCTAATGTATATTTCCTTGTGAATTCTGGCAGTGCAGCCTAATGCAGGGGTGTGCCCTTAAAGCAAAATCACAGAAATGGCTTGGAATAGATGGCTAATAACTCCTCAAGCCCTTCTATGACCAATACAAATGGTGTTTCAAATGACAGGACAAAAGCTTTCTGTGTCTGTCAGACAAACAGATCCCAAAATGGAAGTTTCTGGTCGTATTGTTTAAAATATCTGTTTTCTGTGAGTGCCGTTCAGGGGATAATTCCTTTAGGAAGGCTGACAGTCAGTTGGCTGCTCGGTACAGTACTTTCCAGTATAAAAATAAACTGCAGATGTTTGACACACAAATGTCAGGATATTTAACTTTGGGTTAGGGTTTGCAGATGTCATGGGTGTTGTGGAAGCTAAATCTCTGTGTTAGGGTGAAAGAGAGAAGAAGTACATGGCACCAAACGCTGAGAAGCATGTCTTGTGTGTGACCAATGCATCCTGACCTGTGGACACTCTGTCCTTTTTGATGTTTAAAAAAACCCTACTGCTGTCATTAGTAGTGAATTGTGCCTGTTACACGGTTTTGAGGATGCTCATTTGTTATTGAGGAGTTCAGCTGCTGGGTAAATTTTCTCTCTCTTGTAGAAATGCCCCCATAAGAGGGGAGTTTTGTGTAGCACTCTGATGTTTTAACTGCACAAAGCATTGTTTCTTTCATCAGAGCAGTACCCAGGAAGCAGAAGTAAATTTGGACATGCCACAACCAAGTTCTTGCTTCCAGTCAGGCTTACCACAGCATTTTTGTTGACAGATTGGTCCAAATGTTTCACCTCTTGAATTGTTTTAAATCCTCTTTAAAAGACCTGATGCATACTTTATGTTGGTGGTGTTTTGTTTGTTTTCAAAGCAATAGAGTAAGGCTGCCAGCTTTGAACTTTGCAAGTCTTGAGAAATGGCTGAGTTTGGACAGTTTATCTAAACACGATGCTTACAGCTGTGTTTCATTGAATGCACTTAATGGCTGACATGACAGACCCATTTGTTCATTTTCACAGAGTAGCAACTGATTACATTTTCTCTTGGCTATCATTCAGCTAAAGTTGCATTGTCCTGTGCATTGTTTCTTTTCTCAGCTAAGTCATTATTTTGGAAACAACTCTCCTTTTTGTTTGATTTTTTGGTATGGGGAGTGGTTTGGGATTTTTTGATTGGGTTGTTTCTGTTTTCTTGGGAGGGAGAGGGGGGTTGTGTTTTGGGTTTTTGTTGTTTTGTTGTTTGAGTTTTTTTCAGGGCAATGTGTGTTTTGGGGAGAAATTGAGCAATGTTGATTTTTGCTTAGTAGTACTAATACAGAGGTTTCCTACACATTTAGGATTCAGTTCCAGAATCTCCTTCATTTGTCCCCATTTATTCCAGCCTGGCTTTATCATGATATTTAGTAGGAATTTCTTTATGCAAAATGAGTGCAGCTGCACCCTAGAACATGTGGATTTTTTCCTTTTAGACCCAGCTAAAATATGAATATATAATATTTTTAAAGTTAAAATAAAACATGATTGGTTGACAGCCCAGTAATTTACATCTCTTATGGTTTATTTGTCTAGGGAGGCAGCAGCAGCTGGAAGCTGAGGACCCCTACGTGGAGGCTGATCAGGACCTGCACAGGAGGGTGGAGCGTTCTGTGGAGCCGCCCACAGAAAGACCTGGGGAGAGGCGCATGGCAGAAATGCAGAAGCTGTATGGTGCTGAAGCTGCCAAAATCCAGGCAATGGAGGCTGCCATGCAGCTTATCTTTGATAGGAACTGTGACAGAAAGCAGCCCAAATACTGGCCCATTATTCCCCTTAAGCTGTGAGTACCTGCACTGTGCTCTGATGTGGCAGATTAATCACACCAGAAATAAGTAAAGAGACAAATCACACCAGTGCTGTAGGGTCAGGTGCCTCAGGCTGGGCTGCTGAAAGAACAAACTGCAAATTTTGGTTTTGGACTTTGAGGGAGAGCCTGGCAAGGACAGTATGTATTTCCAGTATGTATTTCTTTGGCCTTTTTTTCTTTTACAGTGTCTGTCGGTGATGTTCACATTCAACACACATACAGTTGTCAAGTAGTAATAGGAGGGACAGGAATATCAAACCTGTCTAAAATTCAATCATTTGATACCCACTTGCCTTGACTACACATGCAAGAAACGTAACAATGTCCATACCCAGTGAACTGGGAAAACTTAAAGCAATGCAGAGAAGAAAAAGACTTTACAAATTGTCTGCTCTTCCTGTTTAGGAATTTGAGTGATCCCATTTTCTAGTCTTATTTAACATAGTAGTATTAGGATCTTGTTTCACACAGCATAGCTTGAAGTGTTATGTCTGCTAATCTTGGATTTTTTTGAGAATCAGGAGCCCACTGGCCAAGATACAACTTATCAAATTACCATAGCCCAGACATTGGAATTCTTTTTCAAAGGTTTATAATAAAGCAGGAAGTTTTTCTTCCAGACTGATACTTGTCTGGCAGGAGTTTGACTCTAAAGCAACATTATATAGAAAAATGTTTTAATGAAGGGGTGGGAGGATCAGCCTGATGTGGTCCTGTCTGCTAGAGATCTGTTTAGCAGAACAGAAACTTTGGACCGTGCTATTGGAGCCAGTGCCTACAGTGATTTTTGCCTTTCTAATAAAAAGCAGCAATGGGCTTGAAGACTTGAAGTTTTAAAAAAGGCTTATTAGAGTGATAGACTATATCTGACCAGTGTTTACAGAGCTGTGGAAGCCAGGTAGCCCTGTGGGCTATGTGTCTGTTTTATGTGCAGGTTTCCAATGGCCAAGTGCATAGGACATGCACAAAATTTAAGTGTAAGCAAGTAGATGTGTTTTCATCCATCTGCACAGAGATGTGCCTCTGTGTGTGCCCATCCATCTGCACTAGCTGTATTGGTTCTGCTTCTGTCACTCTTTACTTTGGGCCAGTTGTGTTTGCCCCACAGAGTGAAGCACACTGGTGGTTTGTGTAAATGAGGCTGAACTGGCCCCTCAAAACCTGGGGCTCCTTAGAAAATGGTGCCCTGAACGCTTAAAAGGACTCTCTGTGAAGCTCTGCTGATAAATATCATTGTGTATTGAAGGCAGTAGTTTGTGACATTGCTGCATTTCCATGCCAGGGCAAAGGAATCATCTGCTGGTTTCATAGTGACACACTCATCTGCCTTCCTGGCAACAGAGGGAGGTTACAAGTAAAATTTTAACTTCAGTTCATGCTGAGTGTCCAGAGTTTCTCTGTATCATGTGTAGTATGTAATACACTCAGCAGTTGCTGTGCCCTCTGCAGCAGCCAGCTGCAACAAAACAAGTCTGCAGTGCAGTTTGGAATATCTTTGCTTTCAGTAGTAGTTACTGTTTTTTCAAAGCAGAATTTCCATGTCAGTTCCACATCTTTCACAGATGAAGTTAAAGTGAACACTGAAATGAAAAAGCCTCCAGTTTCCAAGACTTACTTCTGGTGTGATTAATCTGAAAAACTTCAGTGAGACAGGAGAGAGAAAAGGATTATTAACAGTTCTGCATTTGTTGTCACTCTTGTTTTTGGCGGGTTTTGTCAAAAATTCAGTGTTTTGTTTGGGTTTCCTTCCTTTGACCAAATAAATTTTCTTCTTAACACCTTGTAAATTACTTTTATTTTTATAAAAACAAACTTCCATACTTAGAACACTTCAATTCTTAGATGGTAAAGCTTTCTTTTAGCTGCTGTATTGTTTAAGGAAGATTGAACTTAGAGCAGGAGTGGTTTTAACATATGGAGAAGCACGAGGAGTGTTGACAGGACTTTCACAGCAATGTCAGGCAATACCACACATGCATGGTGTGGTGCAAAATGAATGGGAGGGTTGCTGTATCCACTGGGGGAAAACCCTGTCACAGATTAACAAGCATAAATTTCTCTGTTCCTATTTGAAATGTTTCCAGTGTGGTGATGGTGTTTTCCCTGTGCAGTTCAGTTCAGAAAAAAAAGGAAGAATGGGTGAGGTAGGACTGGGCTGTTCTTACTTTTCAATACGAGTTCCAGTTCTTGCTGTGGTTGATTCTTTATCCAACTGGTTCTGCTAGCAGAAGCAGAAATTCTGGTCTCAAAAAGTATTTGTGGAGACCTCATATAAGACAAACATTGAATTCCTTTCCTACTTCACAAAAAATGTAAAATAAATCTATAAAAAGAAATATATAAAGGAAATCACCTTGCCTTTGGTTCTTTTAAGTATTTTTAAGAGGGTTTAATATGCTTAAATATGCTATGAGGTTAGAAGGAGAGAGAACTGGATGAATTGTTCCTTAGGAGCTGTGTACTAACTCCTGGAATACCCTACTGCAGATTTAAAAGTTGCTGCCAAATAATCTCATTTCAGGGGATGGGCCAGCAAAATGGGACATCTGGCCAACTACCCCTAGATGTGCCATTTTGCTGGAAATTCAGCAGGACTTGAAAATTCTGTGTTGCAGTTCTTTTACTCTATCTTCCATATCATTTTGCATTTCTGATAAATACCTCACATAAAAGCATGTGATCATGGAGGAAATACAGCAGCAACTCAAAAATGGCACTTCAGTTGTCTGTAACATTCACCTTCCTTTTACACATGTATTATGCTGCAGTCCTCAGTCATGGGAACATGTGCACCTTTTTTGCCCAAAGACACAATGTTCCTTGACTAGAATGCAGCTGTGGTGCTGCAGAGTTGATTCCTCCTTCTCCAGAAGGTTGCACCTGTGCTTTCAGTTATGCCAACTGTTGGTGCAGTCCTGCCCAAAGGGAATTCTTCACTTGCTGCTGGTCCTGTTTCTCATGAGCTTTTCCCAGCTCCAGTAGAAGGAATTATAACCCTGGAGTCAAAAGTTGGAATCCAATCAGTCTTCATTTCAAAAACTGGTTTCCTCATTTGTTACAAAAAAATCAGCCTTATTTTCAGGAGAAGAGTGTGTGATTGGTTGAAGATGCTTTTAAGATAGGAGAAAAATGTAATAGGTCTTTTCTACTAAAAGCCTTCTTAAAAGGAATGAGCAAAAAAACCCTTTCAGAATTGGTGTGATATAAATGTAACATAGAAATGAAGCAATGACCTGTTTCCTACTGAAAGAAACCTTGCTTACTTTTATGGTGACGTTGTCAAGGGCTCTTGTTCTTTTAGAAATTTTTCTCCATACAGCAGCTGACAGCTCAGTGTGCCTGTGTGTACAGAGAACAGATTCAGCCCTTTTGATGAGCATCATTTTCTCAATCAACATTACAGGTAAGTATTCATCCTTTTTGACAGGGGTCTCATTAATGGCTGGCTGCAACCATCTCACATTTGGAAAAAGTGTTAATAAAAAACAACGTAAATTTCTGTAACAGCCTTTATGAAAGATAAACGTCACATAAGTAACACATACAGATTTGGTCACTTGTGTCTTTCTCTTAGTAAAAGCTTTTCATTCATTACGTGAAATATGCTGTAAATATTGGTGTCTTCATCTCTTGTTGCACTCATAGCAGTCTAGCTCTTGGTGTAGAAATTGAGAAAAGCAAGACACAGATTCAGCTGCTTGAATTTTGAGTTTTAAGTGTGATTTTTGGCATGCTTGGCTGAACATTTTGGCTGAAAGAATTAGAGGGGGGCCAAGATTATTGCCCAAAATGTGAAATATAGTCTGTCAAAATGAAACATCCCAACTCTGTTTTCCTTCTGATTTCTTAAAAGTGTAAGCTCCTGGAAAATGTATTATTTGATAAATAATACATTCATGCTGTGACGAAATTTTTTTTTCATGTTTGTGTGCTTTTTTTGAAAAACCAAAATCAGATGTCCACCCTGTCTGACCTGTTGACTCCTGTGTTCCTGCATGGGTAGTCCAAAGGACACTAATTCTTATGGGCTCTTTTCTAGGTAGAACAGCAGCCTGTAAGGGAGTCTCAGCTGCTTTTGAAGGGTGATTATGGCCACAGGGTGTTCAAGGCTTCACACATCTTCCTGCGTTCTCACATAGCTGGAATTGCTGAGCTGGCACTCAGTGACAGTGCAGAGGAGCCCAGGGTGGGTGGGTGACAGACCATGATGTTGCCATGTGGGTGTTGTCTTGGAGACCTGGCTGTCATGGCAGAGGAATTGCTTGGACTCAGTCCATTCTTTGGAATTGGTTGTACAGGCATCAGCCTCAACTATTAATATTGACAGGCCAGGAATGCTCTGTCTTGCTTGGCCAAAAGTGGAGAAAGACTTGCTTCTCTTGAGCTTGAAGGGAGTAATGGAGATTCTTTGTGCATGGATTTCATTACACAGTCACAGAAGAAATTTTTTTCCCTTCATCATTAATCCTTTTTTTCTAAGAAGGCAAGCAAGCAGAGTAAATGCAAACATACATAGTTTTTGCAAAGAAAATACTTTTCAGCCTAATGGTGCCAATACCACTGCTGGTTCCCTAAACTACATTGAGATCTTCTGCCTGCAAAGGCTTTTGAAAAACCAAAATACACATAACTGCTATCCCCATGACTGTTGTTTTCAGCTATCCCAAAGACATAATTTGTGGGGAGGAAGGAATGAGAAAAGAGGAAAGGATTGGTGGGGATTTCTTCTAAATAGAGTTACAAGTGGTACTCCTTCACTTTAAGAGTTTGTTTTAAATAAAAGCAACAATCTCTTGACTCAATAAGAAGTGAGGCAAAAGTCTATGAGGAGCTATTAAAATTAAATTACACCACTGTCTTTGGATGTCCATAATCTGAACTTTACTGATAGCTGGGGAAGGCTAAAAAATAGTGTTGTATTCATGTCCCCTAGACAGCTGCCATCAGGTGTTGGCACAGGAGGATAACAGATTCCTAATCTGTTTATAGGGATGTTTAGAATCTTTCCACATGCATCTACTGGAGATGGAGATTGAAATCTCAGTCCTGAGGTTCAGCTTTCAGCCATCTCATGCATTTTCTAGTTACAGCAACCCCTCCTGTTTGGTGACTCAGTTCCACCAAAGTTTACTGTTATTGGGGT